ATCAGTGTTTCAAACTGGTAAATTGTATTACAACGATGATATTTTAAGTAAAAGCTAAATTTTTTGCATTTTTTACAAACAAACAGCACTTTTATGGACTATATTATTGTTGTAATATGTTTTACTGTTTTAAAACACTAATATTTGTGTTTAGTGAAGTCTCCTGAGAATAACAGTACCCCCATGTGCAGGTTTTATGGTGTTTTGGAAAGTTAGAGAGTCACATATAAGGCTTGCATTTCATTTTTTTACATTGAAATTTGTCAGATTGGTTATGTTGTCTTTGAGAGCGTATGGTAGCCCAGGAATGAGAATCTGCAAAAGTAGACAACTCAAGGTATTGCAAGTGGGGTATATCCAGTCTTTCTGAGTAGCCACTTAGTCACAAACACTGGGCAAATATTAGTTTTTTGCTTTTTTCACACAAAAACAAATATGAACGCTAATTTTGGCCAGTGTTTGTGACTAAGTGGCTACTAAAAAAGACTAAACATACCCCACTTTCAATACCTTGGGTTGTCTAGTTTTTCAAATGGTATGCCATTATGGGGGTAATTCTCATTCCTGGGCTACCACACCGTCTCAAAGGTAACATTACTAATCTGGCAAATTTCAATGTGAAAATGGAACGTTCTATATTTGACCCTGTAACTTTTGAAAACACCATAAAATCTGTTAATGGGGGGTACTGTTGTACTCATGAGACATCGCTGATTACAAATATGTGCATTTGTTTGCAGTAAAACCTAACAGTATTATGACATTCACAGCTAAAATGTCAGACGGAAATACAAATGTAAAAAAAAAATCTTATTTTCTCACATTTTTTTAAATTTTATTCATAATAAATTATGTTCCATATATGAATAGTTAATGATAAATTAAAGCCCTGTTTCTCCTGAACAAAATGATATATAATAAGTGTGGGTGCACTTAATGTGACAGCGGTGAATTACGGTTGAACAGACATATAGTGCAAATTCCAGTGTTTGTTTACGTTTTGTTTTGATCAGAACTATTGACTCCGTCCTGAAGGGGTTAATGATTTATACCAGTCTATATTTGTGATTGTAATATTTAATTAATTTTCCCATTTTACTAAAGCATTGATTTGATCCTTATTTTTATTCTTTTTGATCATACTCAATGCTTTGGAGAGAACTTTATAAACTTTATTTTGGTTAAAAATACTATGTAAATCCTCATTTATTCCTGTTTTACTAAACCTTAAATGTTGCTTTAATGTATACTTTACTCTTAGTTAGTTAAAAAGCTCAGATGAAGGGAATTTAAACTCTATTGTTAAATCCAAAAATGATTTTATTTTAGTATATTCTATTAGGGGGTTTATAGTTGTAAAATTACATCTTTTCAAGTTTGTTAAGGCAACATTTTCCAAGTTGGCCTCCAGTACCTCCAATGGCATAAAGCTAAAAATCCTTCCCTTAATATCTAGGAATTTTTTAACAGAGTCCCAAATCTCATTCAAATGGTTTTTTTTTTTTTTTTTTATATTCTTTATTTTTCTTGTGCAACAAGATAGACATGCAAGCGTGTGTTGCCACATTCTCAAACCTAAGTGATTCAAACGGTATGGTACTATGGCACATGAGGAAACTGAACAATTTTATTTTTTTATATTAAACATGCTAAACCAGATCTTTCCAGTATATGTGTTATCAAGAGGAGTAGAAAGGCGTATTACATATACTGATTTGAATGAAGGGAAAAGAGTAAGGTAAACAAGAGTGGTATTAAAGGAAACTACAAGCTTAGATAGACCACTAATTAGCAGTCGTGAGTAGTATCAGTGATAATTAATAAGCAGGGTAAACAATCATGTCAAAATGAGAGGCAGATGCAGAATAGTCTACCTGCCAAGAAATTATAGACATGATGAGTGTTATTCTATCTGTAGCTTAACAGGTTAGACATAGTAGTAGTACATAGATAGAAAAATAATAAGAAGGATCTGGTTAACAAGGCGGTTATGCCAGAATTTTACTGTTAGGCGTTTTAGCTATGTACTTTGGCAACACGGTACCGGAGTCTACCACATCAGGGGGGTGAGATTTTATTGCTATGCCTGGCAGGTAAATGAGTGGGGTAGCAAAAAGAACAAACAAAAAAGAGTTCACCAGGTTGCCTTGGTGTTAGCAGATCGCAGCTTAAGAGGCTGAATGAGGGGCTAGGTAGCATCTGTTGTAGGAAAGACGGGCTGCGGGCGGACTCTGTGGTGTGTGCCCTGTATGTGAGTTCCTGGTAAGCCTATGCCCAGCAGAGGAAAAGGCTATGGTGGTGCTCGGAAGTCTCGCTGGGGCAATGCAGGGTCTTGTTGAGTGAGTCCTTTCTCAGGCCGTCTCAGTGGCTGTGGTTTATGGTACCGCATGTGAGTTCTCTGATCAAACGGCTCACCCATGTGGGGTAAGCTTCTTTGCAGGTGCCATGCAGGAATGTTGCAGCGAGATGGCAAGGTGCTTAGTCGGCAATGTCATGCTGCTGTGTGGCTCAGTGCTTGGAGTGTCTGCTGGCGTATCCATCGGTGCGGTGGGCACTTCTCCATGTCGGCGCTGGTTCGATGGGGAACTTCAGCCCCTCCCCTGTTTGGTAGGTAGAGCGGGGTGTGTAGCTCTATGCTCTATGCACCTCCAGAAGTCCTGGCAGATGCGATCATGCTTCAAAGCGCTCCCTCCACGCCTGTATTTCTGGGCTTTCCCCTGTCTGCAGGGGATGGTGCTCGGCGGTCATCTTGGACCCGGCATGCGGTCTGCTGTCCAACCAAGGAGTGTCTGTTTGTAAGACTGTTGGGTTCCCCAGCGTGGACCGGGATAACCCCCACTGCTCCATAGGGGGGGCATGTGGGTCAACAGGAGAGCTGATGTTTCTTGCTGTCCCCATGGCGGGAGATCGGCCACCTCTCCCAGCCACTAGGCCACCTTCCTTGCTAAAAACAAGAAATGGTAAATAGGTCGCGCTACAGAAACAAATAAATAATATATAGGGATAGTATATCTACATAAAATAAGAAAAGCAAGAAAATGAATAAATAATAGTCCCAATATTGATGTCTGGTTAGATCAACTTGTAAAGGCTTGAATGTGTGATGAATCCAATAGAGTACTGGATCTTCAGATGCTGGAGGTGTCTTGACTCAATTGTGAATATGTGGATATAAAAATACAAAAATACTCCAATAGTGCAGACAACAAGTTGACAAGTAGAAAAATATATATATACAACAGGGAAGTAATCCACTCACCTATTTGAGAGCATAAACTAGCTCAAGTATTCGTAGCATTCAGGGGCGTCAATCCTCCACTGGTAGGCTATAGATGGTGGTATTCTGAAGAGCTCCTCAGTATGTAGAGAAATAAAAGGCCATATATAGTGCTCACTGAATATATTGTAGAACAAATCAATAAGAAGAAATAAAATACTCACATTTATATGAGCAGGATATACTGCTCAATATGATGGCACAGGTGGTACTATCCCCACCTAGGATTCTTGGGCCAACGCGTGCTCCAATATAGTAAGTGACCAGGTGTAAACACAATAAATAAAATAATAAAAGATATATGGCAAATATAAGGTATAAAAGAAAGGGACAATATTCCTTTATTAATAATAGTTTAAAAATAAGAATATAAAACGCATTTCGCCACACAGGGCTTTATCAACTGGCATTAAAAGAAAACAACCTGGTACATAGATGCTTATATAGACTCCTTAAACATATGTTAATTCAAATTTTGGCACCAAAATGACATCATTGGTGAAATACAAAAAACAGTACATAATATAAATACAATAGGAACAGAGTATTGGAAAAACAACCCAAATGATTTTGCTATATTGTAATCTCTAAAACGAGCATTCTACTTAAAAGATTATTAAAATATTAAAATCACGTGATCGCGATCTGCCGCGATCACGTGGTATGTCCCTATGGACTATGGGAAATGGATGCTGAGCCTGGGGGATCAGCGTGAACAGATACGCCCATCATCGTGACGTCAGCGTGCAGGGCGGGGTTATAGTCCGAGCATAGGCGTGCGCACGGGGTGTGCCGGGTGTGCCTGGGCACACCCTAATCCCCGTGGCACGCCTATGGTTTGAGTCCTGCAGGAACAGCGTCCCTGCACTTTTTTGAGCAGGAACGCTGTTCCTGCAGACACTCAGCACCCCCTGTCTCACCTCTTGCCCCTGTCATGGGAGGGCAAGAGGTGATCGATCCCCCCCCCCTCTCTCCAGCTCAGCCGCGGCGAGGGAGCTCTCTGCTGTCTGCGCTCTGCTTCCTCTCGCCGCACGCTGATGCCGGAAGCCGGAATATGACGTCATATTCCGGCTCCCAGCTGCAGCAGACAGCCCGCGCGGCGAGAGGAAGCAGAGCGCAGACATCACACAGCTCCCTCGCCGCGGCTGAGCTGGAGAGAGGCGCCCGCCCCACTGGACCCCAGGGACAAGTCCACGCCAGCACTCCAGGTAGGAGGCTGGGTGGACATTTTTTTTTAATTAAAATGTAATAATTTGTTCTTATGTGTGAGTGTGTCTGTGTGAGTGAGTGTGTCAGTGAGTGTGTGTGTGTGTCTGTGTGAGTGAGTGAGTGTGTCAGTGAGTGTGTGTGTCTGTGTGTGAGTGTGTGTGTCTGTGAGTGTGTGTGTCTGTGAGTGTGTGTGTCTGTGTGTGAGTGTGTGTGTGTGTGAGTGTGTGTGTCTGTGAGTGTGTGTGTCTGTGTGAGTGAGTGTGTCAGTGAGTGTGTGTGTCTCTGTGTGAGTGTGTGTGTGTCTGTGTGAGTGAGTGTGTCAGTGAGTGTGTGTGTGTGTGTGTGTGTGTGTGTGTGTGTGTGTGTGTGTGTGTGTGTGTGTGTGTGTGTGTGTGTGTGTGTGTGTGTGTGTGTGTGTGTGTGTGTGTGTGTGTGTGTGAGTGTGTGTGTGAGTGTGTCTGAGTGTGTGTGTGTCTGTGAGTGTGTGTATGTGAATGTGTGTGTGTGTCAGTGTGTGTCTGTGTGTGAGTGTGTGTGTGTCTGTGTGTGTGTCAGTGAGTGTGTGTCTGTGAATGTATGTGTGTGTGTGTCAGTGAGTGTATGTGTGTGTCTGTGTGAGTGTGTGTCTGTGAATGTGTGTGTCTGTGAGTGTATGTGTGTGTGTGTCTGAATGTGTCTGTGAGTGTATGTGTGTGTGTGTCTGAATGTGTCTGTGAGTGTGTGTGTGTATGCATATATATATATGTATATATATATATATATATATATACACACACACACACGCAGAGCCGGCGCTATCTGAGTGCCGGCTCTGCTTTAAGCCTCCATGGGCCGGCAGGGAGACCAAAGATCTACCTCACCGGCCCACAGCAGCATGGAGGGAGGCAGGAGAGGACCCAGGGAGCTCTAGACAGAAGCTCCGCCAGGTTCCTCTCGTGATATCTGAGTGTTGCTGCGTCACGCCTATGAGTCCGAGATCGTGCCGCTCTCTAAACAAATTCGCCTGCGGCATAGTGCCAGAGAGCGATACACAGGACTTTCACTTCTTAGTGACAGTACACTCCGGGGAGTGAGGTCAATCAGGTGGAACGCTCCAAAGGATGGGAGCACTCCACCCGACAGCCTCCCTACCCATCAATCCACTGTAACATCAGTAAAAAGTTAAAATGAAATTGTAACAGCACAGCAATGTTTTTTTGATTATAAATATCAATAAAATAATTCATAAACTAATACATGAAATAATATAATAATAATGGCAATACGAATAAAAGATTTTAAGGGGAAACTAAAAACTAAAAAATAAATGAAAAACCACATTGAATAGATATATTCTTTATGTAACGTGGGGTATAAAACAAGTTAAAAAAAGGGGGTTGTATTTATATTGGAAACTATAAAAATGGGAATCAAATAAAATAAAAATATATAGCCCAAATGGGAATTGTTGCAATTACAAAAAATGTAAAAAAAAAAATTCAAAAAAATTAACATAAAAAAAATAAAAAAATAAAAATAATCTTAAATAACAACTATTTTTGGTTTTCGGACTCATTTTATATCCAAAAGAAAGGCACCGCCATGGGAACCAGGTTTGCCCCCAGCTTTGCAAACCTCTTCATGGCCGATTGGGAGTCTTCGGCCATTTGGGGCGAACATGGCTGGCGGGCAAACTTGGTTTCCTATTTTCGGTATATTGATGATTTATTTTTTATCTGGCAAGGTTCAGAAACTTGTCTGAAATTGTTTTTAGAGTATCTAAATGAAAATGATAGTGGCATAGTTTTATCCTCAGAACATAGTAATGTATCAGTCAATTTTTTGGACCTTAACATTTTTATTCAAGATTGTAGCATCCAAACAAAAACCTTCTTCAAAGAAGTGTGCACCAATACTATAATTGACCATACCAGCTGTCATCACAAACCTTGGTTGGATGGCATTCCAGAAAGCCAATTTCTGCGCCTCCACCGCAATTGTTCTCTAACAACTGATTTTGATGTTTAATCTACCTCATTAAATAATATGTTTTTAGAAAAAAATTATAAACCAGAAAAACTAAATGCAGCCCTAGAGGAAGTTAAGGAGAAGGAGAGAAAAGAACTTCTGAAATATAAAGTCAAAAAAGAAGACCCCCCCAAAATTACCTATTATTTTAGATTTTAACAGTAAAAACAAAACCCTTAAAAAGATTATCAATAAACACTGGCACATTCTCAAACAAGATGATCTTTTGAGAGACTACATCCCAGACAAACCTAATGTAATATTTAGAGGGGCCCCTAATTTTAAAACAATTCTCACAAAAAATTACACTAAAAATAACACACAACAGAGAGGTAATTTTATGTCCAAGCTGAAAGGCTTTAAGTACAATAAATGTATTGTGTGTAGAACCACAAACCCAATTGCCAACACTAAAACCACCCATTTCTCCTCCACAATTGCAAAAGTCTCATATCCAATCAAAGATTTCATTGGTTGTAATACAATTTTTTTTTTATATATTTGTTGGAGTGTCCATGTGGACTCCAATATGTAGGCATGACTACATGATGCCTAAAAATTAGACTGGCGGAACATTGTCGAAATATCAGAAGAGGTTATGATAATCAATCAGTCGCAAAACACTTTTTAGTACACAATAAAGATCCAGAAATTTTTTAAAGTTACTGGGATAGAACAAGTTACTATGCCTTGGAGGGGTGGAGATATGAAAAACATCTTAGGGAAAAGAGAAATGAACTGGGTCTTCCAACTTCAAAACCCTCTCTCCAGAAGGACTTAATGTTGAATTTGATCTTTTTAATTTTCTATAAAATAGTTATGTTTTCCTGCCACCCTATATACCCATCTTCTATTAGGATGCATAATAAGACCTAATAATTTAATGGTTAACTTCCTATTTGACTTAGATAAGTTGGTTCATTTTTTAAATATTTTTTTAAATATTTTTTTTAAATATTTGTTAAGAAAATTTAATTTTTTTTTAGTTTTTTTAAAAAACTTTTTAAATTTTTTTTTTAATCTTTTATTCTTATTGCCATTATTATTATTATATTATTTCATGTATTAGTTTATGTATTATTTTATTGATATTTATAATCAAAAAAAACATTGCTGTGCTGTTACAATTTCATTTTAACTTTTTACTGATGTTACAGTGGATTGATGGGTAAGGTGGCAGTCGGGTGGAGCGCTCCCATCCTTTGGAGTGTTCCACCTGATTGACCTCACTCCCCGGAGTGTACTGTTATTAAGAAGTGAAAGTCCTGTGTATCGCTCTCTGGCACTAAGCCGCAGGCGAATTTGTTTAGAGAGCTGCACAATCTCGAACTATAACCCCGCCCTGCACGCTGACGTCACAACGATGGACGTATCTGTTCACGCCGATCCCCCAGGCTCAGCATCCATTTCCCATAGTCCATTGGGACATACCAGGTGATCGCGGCAGATCGCGATCACGTGATTTTAATATTTTAATAATCTTTTAAGTAGAATGCTCGTTTTAGAGATTAAAATATAGCAAAATCATTTGGGCTGCTTTTCCAATACTCTGTCCCTATTGTATTTATGTTTTGTACTGTTTTTTGTATTTCACCAATAATGTCATTTTGGTGCCAAAATTTTAATTAACATATGTTTAAGGAGTCTATATAAGCATCTATGTACTAGGTTGTTTTCTTTTAATGCCAGTTGATAAAGCCCTGTGTGGCGAAATGCGTTTTGGCTCTTTTTTATATTCTAATTTTTAAACTATTATTAATAAAGGAATATTGTCCCTTTCTTTTATACCTAATATTTGCCATATACCTTTTATTATTTTATTTATTGTGTTTACACCTGGTCACTTACTATATTGGAGCACGCATTTGCCCAAGAATCCTAGGTGGGGATAGTACCACCTGTGCCATCATATTGAGTAGAATATCCTGCTCATATAAATGTGAGTATTTTATTTCTTCTTATTGATTTGTTCTACAATATATTCAGTGAGCACTATATATGGCCTTTTATTTCTCTACATACTGAGGAGCTCTTCAGAATACCACCATCTATATCCTACCAGTGGGGGATTGACGCCACTGAATGCTACTAATACTTGAGCTAGTTTATGCTCTCAAATAGGTGAGTGGATTACCTCCCTGTTGTAAATATCTATTTTTCTACTTGTCAACTTGCAGTCTGCACTATTGGAGTATTTTTTGTCTTTTTATATCCACATATTCACAATTGAGTCAAGACACCTCCAGCATCTGAAGATCCAGTACTCTATTGGATTCATCACACATTCAAGCCTTTACAAGTAGATCTAACCAGACATCAATATTGGGACTATTATTTATTCATTTTCTTGCTTTTCTTATTTTATGTAGATATACTATCCCTATATATTATTTATTTGTTTCTGTAGCGCAACCTATTTACCATTTCTTGTTTTTCTATTTCCTTTGAGGGCACGTGAGGGAACCTCATATCTATAGGTTGCTGCTCTATATCCATTTTAGCTTCTATTCGATCACATAGCGCTGATCCAATATCTATCTGTTTCACCTTCCATGCTAGGCCGCATATGTGGAGTGAGGACTCTGTTTTTCACGTCTGATTTTCACGAGGCGGGTATCCCTGGGTCTCCAGTCGCTCCAGCACTTCTTTGTAGGTGAGCTGGTTTGCTTTTGCAAGATTGCCGCATAAATTATTAAAACAGCTTGGCTGTTAGGCTGTTTCAATATTAGGTAGGGGTTTATGATTACAATTCCATTTATTTTAAATAGTTTAGATTAATTCAGACTATTCATTTCCATCACATACCAAATTTTTGTAAGTTCTGTATCCAGCTGAAGATTATATATATGAGTAACTATACTTGCAAAACAGTTATACTTAATATTAGGGAAATTTATTTCACCTTTCTATTTTTTTATAGAAAGTAACAGAATATTTAATCTTCGTTGTTTCCCTTTCCAAATATTTTGATTAAATCCCCTTTGTATCATCTTCAACCAACTATCTGGAATTATGAGAGGGAGCATTTGAAATAAATCGGTAATAGATATGCATTAATTTTATTTGCTCTACCTATCCACAATGCTCCCACATTTTTTCCAGTCTTTCAGGGTATGATTTGTGGCTTTTAATAATTCTAAAAAGTTATTTCCATGCTAGTTTTAATATTTTTTGCTATTTTCACTCCTAGAGAGTTTATTACTTTTTTAGACCATTCAAGCCATATTTGGTTTTAATTGCATTTTTTATCTCTGTTTTTAAATTACAGCCTGTAATAATTGATTTCTCTATGTTAATCTTAAAATTAAAAGCTTCAGAATATTCTGTAAACTCTTCCATTAAATGTTCTGATTACTTAATCGGATCTGTTAGTGTGATCAATGTATCATCTGCATATAGATTTATTTTTGATTCTAGTGATTGTAACACAACTTCCCTAATCCTACATGCAAATGGTTCTAAAGAAATTATATAGAGCAATGGTGAAAGTGGACACCCTTGACGTGTTCCATTCAATAGTAGGAACCAGTCAAAACAGATGTTTTGTCCAACAACTCTGGCTGATGGTGATTTATAAAGGGCCATTATAGCCTTGTGCATCCACCCATCTATTCCTACTCTTTTTAAAGTCAGACTCAATTATTTCCAGCCGACCCTGTTGAAGGCCTTTTCTGCATCCACCGACAGGTTCAGCATGGGAAGGTGAGTTCTATTTACTAGATCCAAA